CCAGGTCGCGGAATGGTCTCATTGTAAAAACCACATTGCAATACAACCTCACTCTCAAGCTCCTACAACGGTACTCATATCAAAAAAGTCCAATCACTTTGCTTTAGGAAAGAGGGTGAGAAACAAACAAAAGTAGACACAAGGAAAGCCATCACCGGGTCGCGATGTCAGGCTCACTTTAAGCCAGGGTCATACTACGGGAAGGAGCAACTTTTGTTGGGAGTATGGTTCAGATTTGAACAATTATGCGCGAATGGCCCTGACTGTCGATAGCACCGGAAATGTTACTGACCTGTGATTGCACAGTAACACCCGATGAGCGATAGAGGGGGTTGACTTAGGACCGATGGAACCTGTCTCTATTAGGCGGAAAACAACTGCGTGACATAGGAGCCCCGTTTTCTCCGCACCGTCAATTTTTTTGCGTTGTGTTAACGGATGCGTATAGAACACTGGTTCGTCATTCGATCAATGCACAAATGCCAAGATTTTAGAAAAGATTATGTCACTTAACAATTCTGATTGGGTGTGAACGTACATTGATCAGAATATGGTACCCAAACCTAAAATACTTATATGAATTGTTTTGTTGTTATACATAAGCAAGAAAACCTCACTGATGTTTAACTTTTGGGAAGCGCTGTGACACTGATGGGATTCAAACCCATGCATGGTTGTTGTTGTAGTTGTTTTTTATAACGTAGGCTCTACCAGCCCATCAACAAGACCACACCGACAGCTGTAATCTTTTAGTGTTCGTACAACTTAGTGAGCACCGTCCATATATATGTCTAAATCCTATGCAGCCTACTGATATTCTGTTAATTAGGAAATTTAAACCACCATAGTGATATTAATGAACGTTGTCTCACAAACCAGTGTGTTGCATCCGTGAACGCAAAAAATCTTTAGGCTCTTGAACTTTACCTAAAAAGCAAAACGAAAACAGATAAACGAACACCTAAATCCACTGATAACTATTCGAATGACAAAAATCAATTTTAGAGAATCGTTTGTCGAGTTTATGATTTTACAAGTTAAACAACTTAGAAAACACTAACAACACCAGCAAAAGATAACTAAGAATAACATCCAGAGTTTATGCATTTCTCACGAAAACGAATATATACCACTCACCATCGGAACTACTGACTTTGTACGAACCACCAAAACACTCATGCTCCAGCAATGCGTCATCTAATTCCACTGGTTCGACACTAGTATCGTTGAACCGATACCAACGCCCATCACTACCAGGATCTGTGGCTGTGGTGTCACGACTATCAGCAGAAGGGATGCTGCCTCCCAGTGAAGATTGTTTTTTCATCCCCATTGAGTGATAGCCAAGCTCCAATGGGGATGCTGATGTCCGACGTAGAACTCCACTAACTTCTGTCGGATCAGTTGCATCGGGTGATGAGCGATTCGAATTCCTCGGTGTTTTAGCTCTTCTGCATTCTGATGCTTTAAAAAGAGTTCTAAAAATCGAAAAATAAAATGAACATGTACTATTCGAAGCTCTGAACCAACAACTAAGCCCTGAAGTAATTCCTAGTTTCAAACCATCGCAAGTAAATCAGGATTTGCATGGAGTTGGGGGAAGAAATATTGTGAGAATGGCAGTGAAACGAAGCCTGAATCTACAGCTTTAGAACTGATGGACAGAAGAAGCAGCACAATCACCATCTGCATTAATTAATAAAACCGAAGGTTTCACAAACTATTATTTGAACCTGTGACAACAGCTCATGAACGGAAACTTATTAAAATAACTGTTTTCTTCCTTTCATTTCATTAAGTGTAAAAAATGTAAAACCAGTTTTGAGGAAGGAGGCTGCAACCAATCCAAGGTTTCCTGGGATGGGGAAGATGAGCGGTACTGAGATTAATCGCCTCCCCCCCCCAATCGTTGTTTAGATTATCTTACCTTACCTTTATCAACACTTCTGCGTTGTACCTGAAATAAACCGAGTAACTTTTTTGTTCTAGAATACAGGTTCTGAAACAAAAGAGGAACGGATCTGACCGAATATTTATTTTGGGTATCTGATTGCACTGTTTTTCTCGTTACCCATTGCTATTCCCCTCGAATTCCACATTTGATTTTCCGATTCACATACATAATAACGATAATAATAATCCCTCATGAATGGATACACTTTAGGGACCAATGGCGTCATGTCAACAACGAGCAAATTCTCCGAGATGCTCTGATTTCTTACTCCAACCCGAACCCTGCAACCCTGCAACTTGCACCTACGAAATTGCATCGAATACGTTTACACTGTGAAACTTTGTGTGATCAACACTAAAAGCAGTGAACTCCATGATCAAGAAGATCGGTCATTCACTTCACGATGAATCACTGCAGTTAACCCAGAACAGTTCACAAAAATGTAATAAATGCCATTTGAAATCGACAACTATTTTGGAATATCATTGCTAAGGTGCTTTTAAAAAATGGATGTCTGTGATCATTACCGGGCTATTGTTTTCCATAAACACGCGATTCAGGTATTTACACTCACTAGGTCAGCACACATTAGAACATCCAATGAAAAACAGGTTTCTGCGCGGATTCACTCCATGATTGTATACTCATCACAATGCTTTTGTAACACAACATACGATGCATTATATGCGCGCCGAGGCAGAGTTTAATAGCATCATACAGGTTGATGGTAGCACTACGAGACTGGTTCCATGATACGAGTCACTGTCGGTCATTTAGTCAACACAATTCATTGAGCAACGACAAAATCGGCCCTCTGAATCGCTTACTGTGTGCCCCTATTCCAAAATAATGCGCTGGGTCTGCGCACATTATTGTCCTCAGAGGTGAGAAATATCCGTCAATTTTCCGCTGCCCTATGTGCACAATTAACTCACACATTACAACCACCACAACCGCAAAATGATTACACTAACAGCGACCCTTGCTCCAATTACTGAAGTGGAACAATCTGCTGTTCATGCTATGACCCATCCTCATCTAACCCTTCCTCATATATGTCTTCAATAACAATCACAGACCCACTACATTCAACTGAGTGACAATCATCCCGGAAACACTAATACCGTAAATGTATCGGGCAAAACCAGAAGCATTGAAATCGTTTGTTCCCCCTACATATGTGTCCTTCATTCTCTCATAGGAAATATACATTTCATTATCAATTATACTGATGATACGTTTCACCGACCACCAGTTCACATAATCCGTATTGTCACATGTCAAAATGATCGAACAATAGTTCAGTGGAGGTGATGGTTAGTCCGGCTTTTTAACCTCTTTATACTTCTGATTCTCCGTTTTTAAGCCAAAATCAACATTCCATTTTGTGAATTTTCAGCGTATTTTAACGAAGCATCGTGGAGAAAAAATGTAAATCAAATGGGTAACAGGTGAAAAATGACTGTGAGGAAAAAAGAAAAAACACAAACTGGGGTTTATTAAGCCATATTAACAATTGTCCACCAAGCTAAAGTGGGGGAAATATGAGGGATAATCCTTTTTCGGTAGATGGAAATGCGTGCACGGAGAAGCCCAACTATGGAACAAGTACGGAGATGAGACACGCATTGATTAAAGTAAGTGTGCAGACAGTGGTCGTCATTACACACGACATGGCTGGTGAATCGATCACGCACATCAAAATGCTTGCACACAATAAAATCAATCAGTTCTTAGAAATATCAACATAACGGGAGTTAGAAACGAGGATAGGGTCTTCCTCATGTCAGGGCTGCAGTACGACTGATAATCTACTTTACTGTGTTTATTTTGTTATGATATTGCCGTCCCCTTTTCTTCCTAATTGTGTGAACTCATGGATTAGTTGACTATGACAAATCAATGAAAACAAATCTTGTTCGCTGTATCGTGTATCATTACCAATTGTTTCGACATGCGGCAGTGGTATAGTCGCTGTCACCGGTGTACTTTGGACCCTATGGTACGCTAACACCACACAACTTCGGTTGTTCGGTCCAATATCACGCCTAACCCGGCAGGACCTTATGTGTTCCGAGACTGCAATTTCTGGGGCTTAGGTTGACGGTTTCCATCACTGAACGACAGGTTATGGTGACTACGGAGTTTACACCGACTGCCGTTCATGCCACAAATGTGTGATAAAAATATATTGGATCGCTGTGATTCTACAACTGAAACAGACCATTTGAAACAATCAGTTCGTTATTCCAACCATCAGACTCCCATATGGATGAGAAGCCTGAAGACCTTTCTATTCCAAAGATAAGAAAGCCAAAGAGACATGCTACTGCATGCTCGACAAACGACTTACCCCCCTTCCGCACGACCCCGGTCTTTGATGAATGCATAATAATGACCTGAATTAGCCTGACCGGAATGAACGATGATTCCCACCAAGCGATAAAGATGTTGTGTGGTAGTGGATGCGTAGGTGGGAGCAAGAAGACCAGATGTTGGTGCTTTTTTCAGCGGACTGACAGTCGAATGTACGTTTGAGGGAGCATCTAGGCCGAACGAAGGCTGTTCAATCACTCCATCAGCCAACTGCTGATCAGGCAACTGGATATTCGGCAAAGCTGATGTACGAGGCAATTCACGACATTCCTGCTCCGCAGAGACACTGCCACGCGATACATCCTCGCTCAATTCGTTCTGTTAGGTCAAAGAACAAGCTAGGTTAGGAAGATTACAGATGCTTAAATGATAAGATAATGGAACTGTGATCAATGTCTAACAGTTGTATTCCTATGCAATTAGAGGATAGTCAGTGATTGGTGAGGTACTTAATCCAGTGTCGTATGATAACAAATAGAAGAGAGTTTCAGTTTCAGTTTACACAGCCATTACAGGAACAGGATAGAAATAGATTGTCACTGTTCAAATACCGCTGTCTAAGCCTCCAATAAAGAGGTGTATTCATATTTTGGACCACTAGTTGTAATATGGCGGAATGTTAACAACCAAGACAGTATACATTGTATGGTACAAGACAAACGTATTTCTTTAGGAGTGATATCGGAATTTATATGGAAAGCACATAACGAGTTCGAGTGTACAGTGTTATATTTCTATCTACATTTTAGGTATCCTGTAGTAAATCGAGTTGTCATCAGTCATCAGATAAAGGAAAGAACGTTCATCGGAGTTGTCAAGATTGTAGATATGAAGGAAAAATCGAAATACACGCATGTTTCAAAAATTTGGATAACTTAAGGTCCGAGTACCTGTAGTCAAAATCAACCTTACGTTCGTAAACCGAGAACTTGACTGAATGATTCATTTAAATGATGACTTTGGAACGTTTCGAGGGTGGGTGGCAAGCAATGGAGTAAAAAATAGCTTACATCGGATAGATGAAACTGCTTCTTCATCATCGAAGCTATACCAACTCTGGCTTCCCGTTGCAACAACGAGGAGGTAGATGAACTGGGAGAAAAGAACGCTTCGGGACGAAGTTTCTGGAGCAAGGAAGAAACAAAAATAAAGCGTCCGACATGAATCATTGTTTGTTACAAAACAGGATCCGTCCCCAAATGAAGTTCAGTAGAATAAAACCATTCCTATTTGATGAATATACAAGTGTACCGTTAATCGATCAAATAAATTCGTTTCATCGATAACAGCCTCACCCAACCAATGAGGGAATTGTAACTACATACGTAGTTGTTAGTATGGAAGCATGCTGTTTAGGTGAGTTTCACACAATACAAAAGACTGACGACACATTTCATACAAATGGTAAATGGGGGTGATAGAAAATGCCAAATTACATTTGATTGAGCAATACAGCAACTCATCTGTTCCCATGAATCGACCGAGAACGGAAATAAATGGCTAACCAATTCGATCAGCTCATTGAAATTTTGAGTTGGTTAAGGAAGAAAGTCATGAATAAAGTCAGTCTTTCCAGATTAAATACAAGTAAAATAATTCCATGTCTTACTGTTTTTAGTCCATCGTCGAAAAATTTACACAAACTATGGTGTAGCGGTGACTAAGATCATCGATATACCTACTCGAATATTAGGAATTCGAATCCTCAATGGTGCAGCTCGACTCCTCTACTGCACACGTCATTAGGCCGCGCCTATACGGAAGCACTTCAATCTCTTCTTAAATTTGTTTTGCTAACTGTATATAATATAAGGAAGTAAGAAAATATTATTATTGATACACAGCAATAAAGGGCTCTATTTGTATGTCGATTTTTTCTAGCCAAAAATAACCTGTTGAAAGCCGTATAGTTATAACGATGCACACACTACTGCATACCCCCCCCCTGGGAAAAAAATTATTTCTTCCCAGGTTAATGAAAGAAATAACATGTTTACGACACTATCCCATAAGGTAGATGCACGCAATCTTCTTCTGCCATGAAAAAATGGAGACGAAGAATTACCAGATAATCAACCGGACACACGAATCAGGACATCGAGCAGTTATCTCGGAATAAGCACTGGTAACCGATCTAACATCGTTGTACGTATTAACAAATGGTCCCTTTACCATACTGGTTAGCTCAGTTGGTTATTTTCAAAGAAAGTTTATCGGTTCCCGCAAACGTCCGGTCCGTTCTTTTTTCGGTTAATTCTACATTAACTGAATTCATGGAAATATGTTTGACAGCTATCAAATGTGTTCTACGTCAACTTAAGAGCACACACTGTGATAAAACGCTTGAATTCAGATATACAAATGCTGTAAAGCGTTTAAAACGAGGCCAGAGTAGTGACAATCGCCAATTACCTGAACGGAATCGGCCATGTAAGGACTCATGTCCAATTGTCGTGGGAAGGTAAAGTGATCGGAGAATTTGATAGGGACTTGACGATCCCAGTCAAAATCGAAGCGCTTCAGATGCAGACACAAAACAGGAGGCAACGTGTGTACAGACATGCGTTTAACTGTACGACGCTTCATACGGCATCGCTCGCAATAGTAGGCATTATCGCCATCTAGGACTTCACCACGAACGAACTGATTCAAAGCTTCTTGCAAATCGTGCACTCGAACGGCGAGATTGATTGCACTGAACACCTCTTCGCGATCATAACTGTATTGATGTGAAAAAAAACAGAGAGCATGCAGCAAATACGTTTGGGATATCAGTAAGCTTCGATTGGTACTTCGTGCAATCCAATAGACGAGGATAGCTAATGGTTAGATACACTGAGATTGACTTAGGGTGTAAATCAATCGCGTAAATGCTGTACGGCCTATCTGTTGAACTGCCAAGAAAACAGTAGAGGAAACGTGCGATCGCTCTTCTCATACAGTTCTCCTTCATCGCCCTCCATTTGAAGAGAACTACCCTTTTCCTCGATGTTGTGATTGCTCCATGTTCGCTCTTAAATACATATAACCTAGCTGAAGGGATACTGATCGGAAAAAGAGTAGTCAATCATGTGCAACGTATTCATCAACGAATAATATGACTTTAGACGGTGCAATAGTTCGAGCAAATCTACTAAATTAGCGTAAGAATTGATCCTCAGGCGCAGACAACATGTATCCCCTGACTCTCATCTCACTGGCACATGATATACCCGAACCTCTGGCTGTTTTTACCAAAGGATGTTCAACAAGGAGGTAATCCCGCAGCCATGGAAGGAAAGAATGATTTCACCCATTTACAAATACACTAACGTTTGCGGATAACGCTAAAATCTGCAAAATAGTAGCACATTCAGAGGATTATTTGGCACTCCAAGAAACCATTAACGCAGCGCACCGATGGTCAATAACCAATGATATTGAATTGAACACCTCAAAATGCAAAGATATCTCCATGAGGCACAAGGCTAGCTTCTCCAATATTCTCGGGAACAAAATACAACCACATGTCACTGATGAAGGGGATTTGAGAGTTATGGTACCAGAGGACGAAGGATGTTCCACACGCTGTGCTAGAGCATCATCCATGGCTCTCAAGCAAGTTCGATTGCCTAAATGTCTGTTCGAAATAGCACCGTCCCCACGCTTGCTATCAGTGTTCATTCCGTCACACAGGGAATAGGCTGTTCAAGTATGGAATCATGGATGAACTGCGACAAGAAGGCTCTAAAACTTCCGCAAAGGGTGGTAACAAAAAAGACGAAAGGACCGTATAACAAGGCATCCTCTGAAAGACTGCAGGTATTGGGGCTTTACTCGTCTTGACATACCACATAATACAACAATCCAACCACAATTGCCATTCTGTGTTAACATTTTCTCAAAATAATCAACACTGGGGACATTCAATGAATTTGAGGCCTCAGAACAATTACACAGATCGCCGGCATCATTCGTTTGCAGTGCATGGAATTCTCTTTCATCACATTTTGTATGTGATCTGATAGCTGAATTATTCAAATAGCGGCTTCATAAAGCATGGGAATACTTAACATCACAGAACCTGTGAGTAATCATGCGTATTATTATTGTTTTTATTCTGTAAAGTGCTCCAACTCATTTTGTAAAATTCCTATTGGGCATGATTAGCGTCAGCCTTCTTAAATCATCTATAATTAAACTTTGAACTTTGATTTGTTATAATCCGTCCGGTCAATATTTTGGCTTAAGTGATATTAATTATTGAACTGCACCAAAGGACACTCACGGTTCGGTATTTCATCAAATTACTGAAGAGTTACTCACCGATGCTCGCATTCATCACAAAATTTGGAATCCAAGAAGATTCCTTGATATATGGCCTGAAAAAACGGTTCCCGCTTCAATTTCTAGGCGGTAAAGAAAAAGAAAGAATTGTTCAAGTTACGCTATAACGTAGATGACGATAATGGTGGTGATGATGAGGAGGAGGATATATGATGCTCACCTTCAACTCCTCGTCCAGTTGATCGATAAGAGCTTGGAAAAAGTCAAATGCGTCTTGCTGTTCGCGCGGATTAACAGCTTCACTCGTATCCCACGGTCGAAAACTCTTCCAGAATCCTGAGGGATCATAGTATTCTAGTTGTGACTCCAAGAGAAAACCAAACATCTGAGAGGAAACAGACGACAACGAGACCATATTGGTTGGTGAACACGCGAACCCGGTGGGCTTCACACACAAAGAAGCACGTAAAATACAACGCAACAGAAAGTGATTATGTCACAAATTCGATTCCAACACTTTTC